CAGAATCTAGCCAATAATGTATGTATGTACATAAACATATGTACATGTCGGTACAAGTATTGTAATGTCGAAAAGAAAAAGGATTAAATATTAGGGGATGAAGAAAGACTGAATGCAGAAATAAATGAGTTGTGAAAGAGTATATAAAATTAATAATTTTTCTAGGTCTCATGCTGTCATAGATTTTTCATTTTTGGTGATGGATAAATGCATAAAAATACATTGGCTTCAGAAAGTATAAAAACACAATATGAATCTGTATAGATTCCCTTTCAAATGGCTACTTTAACTGCATAGAAGTTCACTGAGACGTATAGCTTAGGAGTCTGGCTAATTCTGGTGTGTGATTTTCCCCCAAAACCGCATGGCTGCTTTTGTGCCTATAACCCCAGCACTGTGGTGGTCAGAGTCAGGTGGATCACTGCGGCTTGCTAGCTGCCTGCCTGGCTCCAGGTTCAGTGAGAAACCTTGCCTCTAGAAAATACGGTGGAGAGTGACAGAGCAGAACACTTGATCTTTTTGGCCTCTACATGGGCATAGGCACACACCTACATGCACAATCACACACACACACAAATAAAAATAATAAGTAATATGGTAAAATAATGCTTCTGAAATTATAAAAGTTACATGCACCTCACATCTAGAGAAACACTGTAAGAATACACAAAGTAGAACAGCGAAAGAGCTGACACACCCAATTCTCACATCTTGTTCTCTGGTCCATTCCCCACTCTCTTGCCCTTTGAATGCTAACAGCCCAGACAATCCTTCTTTACACCTATCTCTCTGACATTCAAGTCTCTGCAGAACACACAAATTTATATATTGGAAGAAGACACGTTGGTTTTACAAGAAACAGCATTTTATATATTATTTTGCAGCTTGTTAGAAATCTACATTAATATTTTAGATAGTTTCATAGTATTACAGAGGAAAAATGTGTTGCAATTTATTTAGACATGTTCTCATTCGTGAACATTCAGTTTTTTCCCTAGATGTTTTGAAAGTATAAAAAAATTGCTGCAGGGCCAGCAAGATGCTCAGCTGGTAAAGTGATTGTCACGCAAGCCTGGTGACCTAAGTCAGTCCCATGAGCACACATAGAGGTACAAGCAGAGAACTGTCACCACAGAGCAGTGCTCCACACACATGCTCACAAGTAACACTCATAATAAAGATGATAAAATGTCAAACTGCTGCAGTAAGTACCCGTGTGCATGTAATCACACGGGTACGTACATTCATTTTAAGAAGCAAAGATTTGAAAGGTAGGGTCACTAGGTCATACTTACATGTAGTTTTAATGATGAGTCTTTAATATCTCTTGTTAACTCTATATTCTTTTTATATTCTAGATATAATAAGGTATATGCAATTTCTGAAATCTCTCTACTCTCCTTGCAGTTACAGGTAAATTTCTGTGTATACCATACTTTCTGAAATTAGTTAAATATGTGTTTATAATCTATTAATATTTGGAACTTTTAAAAATTCCATCAAATTACATCTGACATTAATATTTATATGCAAAGAATTTATATCTATTCCACATAATACAGGTCCAAAGACGACAGAAAGATTAGATACAATATTCTTTTACATGAATGCCTCTCAACTCTAAATAAGCAGGCATTAATTACATCTTTTATGAGCACAAGAATTGGTCAAATGATTTTAAACATCAAGAAACTGGATGCTTGAGGCATGTACTTCTATCATGCCTCACTAACTCCAAAGAACAAAAATCATAAATTTGCTTAACAACACAAGAAAGACTAGATGTCTCCCCAGTGTGGTGAGTCAACTGCCATGTGATGCTTGTGCCATTAAAGGAGCTTATTTTTGATTAAAGATAAATGAAAACAGGAAACCAGAAAAGAATTTCAATGCTAAGCTCCCAAAACACTGTGAAGTAGGTTCACACAACTAACAAGCCCTCAAAGTTATTTTAAGGAAATGCATATTTCTCAGAGGCTTGGTAGCATGGTGTTACCTCTATCATCAAAGTAAGGTCCCATAAAATCACTATGGTCTTGTAAGACGTGGATTTCGCTTTGTACTCAGAATTAACTACTTGTCTATAGTTCTAGAGTCTTCCAACTAGAAATAGGTCTTTTGGTCAAGAATAAATGAAAACAGGAAACCTGAAAGTAATGTGAACACTAAACCCCAAGGAGTTAATCTCTCACTTGAGTAATTAAAGAGTGCTTTTAATTATCTTACTCTCATCACTTCAGTGAAAACTCTCGTTGTGATTTCCACAGGAAATACATGTCCACAGACCATAAACTCCTTCCAGTTAATAGCTAACTTGGGGAGAAGATGGGAGTTGGATTCAGATGGAGGACCACTGCAGGGTGATGGTAAATGAGTTACCTCTGAAGAGCTGGCTGCTACTGTCTGAGGCCTCTGCTGAGACTGAGAGGGAGGAAATGTGGAAAGCAACACAGAAGCAGTCAGAAAGAGGATAGTCTCTGAACTCACCAGTAGCAGGAGTAACTAAAGCATACCAAGGACTCTGGCTACAGAATGGGAAGTAAAAAGAAGAAAAGGGACAAAAGATATACCAAAGATCCAAGGTGCTAGCTAGAACTCTCCCTTCATCCATGCTTCTCAATTCAGTGCCAGTAAGACAAGTTTTAAGTGTCCTAGGACAAAGTCTAAGAAATGATAATTACTATGGAAACGAAGGTCTCTCACCTACTCCCACTCTTCTTCCACTTTCCAACTCCTTATATAGCATTTGATGTATAGGAGGTCTCCATGGTAGAGAATCCCTGGGATTTTTATAATTGGCTCCTAAATGTGCTATCTAAGATCCCAGTGGAAGACTGGGCCAAAGTAAAAAGAATGGTCATGAACAACCACATAGAGAAGCCATGTGAAAAATGGAACTATCCATTCAACATGTCCCTCAGACAATAGTCCATAGTCAATTGTCAACAGAAACAGAAAGTCTTCTTATGTGCTTACAGACAACTAAGCTTAATCCTTACTAGCTTATAAAAGGATGGGGCTTTTATGACATAAAAAACTGTAACAAATTATAAGGTAATTCTAAATTAAGGACAGCAATCTTATAAAATACCAAATATATTCAATGCAGAGATTCTAGATGAGGAGTGCCTAAAACCCTAGAATTTGATGTAATTTCTAAATCATAGTTTCTTTTCCTGTTGCTGTGATAAAATACCCTCACAAAAGCAACTTAAGGGAGAAAGGTTCATTTTGGTTCAGAGCTCTTCATGGCTATGAAGCCAAAGCAGCAGGAACTTGAAGCAGTTGGCCATTCTGCATCCACAATCCAGAAGCAGAGAGCAATGAATGACTCTCAGCTCACTTTCTCCATTTTATATGGCCCAGTATTCCCGGCCAAGGGAATGGTCCCAACCACAATTATGACAGATCTTCCCACACCAATAAACATACTCAAGATACTATCCACAGGCATGCCCTGAGATTTCCTCCCATGTGAATTTAGACTTTCTCAAGTTGACATCCACACTCTCCATAACACAAACTTAAGAGTTAAGCCAATGATTCCATTCTCTGCTCCCTCCTCTAACTCCACTGAGCTTGCTTTCCAGCTGATTCCAAATTGCCAGCATCCATGCTCATAAAGTACTTTTCTTACTAGAGATCTGTGCAGTACATGATATGAATTTTACAATTCTATGACTTTCATATTGAGGCAGAAGGTGGCAAATTTTACCGAAAAAAAGATCAACATATTACATAAGGAGGGTGGAAAAGCATTTACCACATTTTTGAAAAAACAATCTCCCTGCATGAGGCATGTAGGGAAATTTTATAAAATGTCACAAGTTCAAGAAAAACAGAAAGCTTTTGCCAACTCTTATTTTCTAGATCAACATTTTAAATCTCAAAATGTTACAAGACTTTTCTACAAATAAAGGTCCAGTACCCTCTAAGAGATCAAATATCATTTAGAAGTTATGTCCTAGCCTTAGACGCTGACCATATGCTGCTGAAGAACTTATCGCCTGTACAAGGGCGTACAAAACCCTGAAGGTTTTTGTGCACTGGCTTGGAAAGTGCCAAGGGTACAGGAGCAGGACTCCTGATTGAACACTCAAAATTTATTTTCATGCAAAAACTTACATTACATCAAGCATACAACTCAGAGGAGCTCATTAGTACCTCATGCATGAAAAATGGAATAGTTACTCTAGTCACAATAGCAACCCATACATAAAACATACTTAACATTCAACAGATGCTGTTTTTCAGAGTGAGCCTTTCATCAAGTCTGGCTGGCCTTGAATTCTCTCTGTAACCCAGGCTAGCCTTAAACAACTCTCTTTGTAGCCAAAGCTAGTCTGAAACTGATGATTCTATTACTTCAGCCACCCAACTTCTAGGTTTATAGACATGGACCATACACCAGAGTATCTCCAGATTAAATTGAATGCTTCCTTTCTGGTAAAAAAAAAAAATGGGGGGGGGGGGTGTCACGAATCATGTCACTTATAAATGTGCTTATAGAAAACAAGACAACCAAAACCTAAGCAGCTACTGACTTGTGAGTAAAAACAGTGTGCCTTTGTGATTCTGCTTAGAGACTCCCTAGATGACATCCAGAGCATCACTAGTAGAATTTAGGTCAATGGGCCAATTACTCGGTGCTAACATCAAAGGCAGAGGCAAGCTGCTGCTTCTCTGCCTGGTCCTTTTTGAGTCTCCACTCTAAGCAATTGTAGAGGCAACTTTATGTGCCACAAACAAACAAACAAACAAATAAATCTCTAAGCTCGTATAAACTATTCTAGAAACAGTTTCACTCTTAATTCTCTGGGTTAACAGCATCTTTATCATCACCACATCCGGCTCACGATTCTCAGTTTTCTTGTTACTGAAAGACACAGCCCTAGGGGTGTCAGTCCATTGTTAATCAGCCAGTCTCTTAGCAGCAGAAGTGGATCAATAGTTGTTGAATCTCCCAAGAACAGATCTAAATAGCTTAAACAGAGACTAACCTGGTGGCAACTGGTGCTGGGGCGGAGCTGTGATCTTCTCTGGCCCCAAGCTTTTTTCGGAAGTTTCCTCAGATACCAGCCAAGTTTGGCTTGCTCTGAGGGAAGTCGGGCTGGCTCCTTTGGTCTCCGTGACCTTCGTAGAAGATGATGGCTCCAAGGTGTCTGCAGAGGGGAACCCAGAGGAGACACCAGTCTTTCTACTAGTGTACTCATTAAAAACAGCTTCTCCCTCACCAGGCAGTGGAGGGAGCGGGAGGATCCTATGGTGCTGCTGTGGGCTGGGGCACCTGGGAGACAGAGGCGAGGGAACAGGTGACAGCCGTTTGTGTGCGCTGGACTGAGGCGATGAATTATTAAATACCATGCCGAGGGCTGTTGGAGCCTGGGGGGTTGGCTTCTTCTCATTGCATTTGGGTTGTGGGGAATCAGGACCTACGGTGTGGGGCAGATCCAGAAGCAAGAATTTATGGCCACTCTGTGGTAGCCCAGCCTTTTGTTGGCTTCTAGTTTCTGGGAAAGTGTGGGTGGCCCTTGTTTTGAGAGAGAAGCCTAACCTTTTCCCCTCAGTGGCTTCGTCTAACTTCTCACTCTCTATCACCTTGCGGAGAACTTTGTTCACAGCAGCCGCCTCCGTGCTGGCTGGTTCTTTGGTAATGGAGGCTCCTTCTGTGGCTGAGGACCGCAATGACTTGATCCCTTGCTGCTCCTCCCCCAGCCTCCTGGAACTATGAGTCTCAGCCTCACCTCCTGGGAGGGTGAGAAAGTCAGCTTTTGGGATAAACTCAGTTTGGGTCTCTGGACAGAAGGCAACTCTTCCCTTGCCATCATGATGCACCCTAACTATTCTTTTTACTGGAGTAGATGGTTCCTGGACCTTGGCCACCACTTTGGAAACAGGTTTCTTACTGCAAGTCCGCTCCAATGACTTTGACTTCCGATTCCCGCTGCCCCACCTCTCTGCCCCTGGATGTTTCCTATGAGTTTCAGACAGATTTGGTTGTGGAGGCTCCTGCTGGTGAGAAGTCTTGAGTTGCCCTCCGCTATCAGCATCTCCTACCTGGGTGGGACTGCTGTCAGGGAACAGAGGTCCTTTAAGATCAGTATCCTCTGAGGTCCTCCCAGAGTTTCCAAAACCCAGGTCTGCATCTGATGTCCTGAGGATGTTGGCAGGGCAGCTCTCTCTTCTCCGTAGCGAAGAGGTAAGTGTTCCCTGAGGAACTAAATTTCCTCTTTCTTCTAGGAGCCGGAGATTAGGCCTAGCTCGAGGAGAAAGGGAGCTACTGGAACAGACCTGGTCCTTCCCCATCTGAAGAGCTGACTCTTGGCAGCCACGCCCTTTCCTCCTGGTTCTCTTCTGCCGGAGCTCCTCCAGGCTCTCTCTCCTCCTGCCAGACTTCCGGGGCTTTTTGCTTTCTTGGGTGCTCCTCCTAATGAGAGAGCTCACAGGGAGTTCTCTGCTCCAGTTGCCAACACTCTGGAAATAGTCGTCCTTGGGGGCAAGGCTTACTGACAGCTCCTGCAATTTCCCCTCCTGGTTCCCCATCGAAATGCCGAGGATGTTGTCTGACCTCAGCAGACTGTCCAGCAGCCGCTCCTTCTCTGCTGTGAGCTTGTATAGCTCTGTTAGAATGTTTTTTGTGGGAGTCTGTTTGAAAAATATGTCGCCTGGATGTTCGTTCGGCTGCTGGCTGAGGCTGGTGATGTCTGGCCCCTCCCTGACTTGGTAGCAGTTATGGAAAGCGTTATTGGATCTGTCTAGAGTTACAGTGCCCTTGTATGAAAATCCTCTGACTTCCCCTTTTGGAAGATAGAAGCTGATATAGCAGAGTTCAGCGATGGGGTTATGCAGCTGGAGGGTGCAGTGAGTGCCTTCCATTATGCCTACCTAATTATTCATGCTGTGGAGATGCTGGTCTGTGGTCAGCTCCAGTGGGGAGGCATGTGATGGTGGCTAGGCAGAGCAGGCAGCTGACAATCCTCTCTCCGGCATTGAGGCTGCCTGTTAGGGAAACACAGGAAGAAAGCTGCTTGTCTAACAGAGTGTACACATCACATGCCCACATCAATCAGAGCATAACCACAGTGGTCCTTCCTTTTGGTAGGGAGCCTGACTACAGCTTCGTAGGCTCCTACCCACCTTGATCAGAAGGTATTTCTATAGCTAAGAGATAGGAAAGGGCTTTCATTTTAGTCCCAGGACAAGTCCCCTTCTTCACTTGGGAACTGACTGTTCGGCCTAGAGCCAGTCTGTCTACTTCTTCAAACCATAGTTTCTAGTCTTCTGTAAAACAGCTATTGACCCTTCCAGGAATTGTAGGAGAAAGGGACTTTGAGAACTTTAGAAATCATAGTTGTTTTAAAGATTTGTGTTTGGAAAGATGGTAAGCTTTTGTTATCATAAAAAAAAAATCCTAAGATTCTCTTTACTTTAAAGCACACTGTGGAGTAGAATTATCAGACCAGATATCTGAAAGGAGATGAAGTTTCAGGCCTGCTTGACTCTGCAATGTTCTATCAAGAAGCTTTGTACAAAAAATATGATGCTTTACATTTAAAAGTTTAAAATTTAGTGACTCAAGAGGCTTACTCAAGTTTTGTCTTGTTTTGAGACAGGTCTTGCAATGTAGCCTTGGCTAGGCTGGAACTTGCTATGTATACTAGGCTGGACTCAAACTTGTGATGATCTTCCTGCCTCTGCCTCCCAAATGTTGAGATTAGGTGTACACTATCATGCCCAGCTTGATTTTAGTTTTGCAATATTTTCCCTTTCTACCTGTTTACTAGTTGAAGCCAAGTTGAAAAGGAGAGTCTACTACTACTGGTCCTTAGGGATTTTTAATGACTGATTAAAGACATGATTAGAAATGTCACCTGAGGCATGAAGACAGCCACTGCCTTATGTGAGTTGAAGGGGTCCCAAAATGTCTTCATAACTAACACCTTCACATGCAAATGTGGAGCTTAGAACTCCATACTGTAACCCTTCATTTCTTAGGTTAATATACCACCCAGTCTGCAAGTTGATCTCACTTAAAGGGCATTCCTCTAGGAATAACAAAATAACAATCATTTAACCACTGATACAGTTTGTAATTGACTTTCCCCAAGTGGTTTTTTTTCCCTCTTAACTTGTTTTAAACTAGAAAAAAAGTTACATAAGAGTACAATCCAGTTCAGACAGGAGGAAGAATGTGTAATGCAAACTCCTTAAGGAAAACATATGAAGCCAAGTGTTGAAGTGGTGGGTGTATGTGTGTGTGGGTGGGGTCACCTGGACAAGACAGAGGTGTCAGGAGGATTCAGAGATTACATAATTTTAAATAAGAATATGTCTGCTTGTTTGAAAAGCCTACTCCCTAAAGACAGGATTCTTACAGATTGAGTACATAGTCACAGATACTGTTATTTCTTATTCATTTAATCAGAGGGTCATCAGGTGCACAAAGAGAAGATGCACAGAAGAGATGAGAAGTCAGCACAGGCCTGGCCCTCGTCACAGCTGCACATGGAATACTCTCCTTCCACCCATTATATCTTTACAGTCTTTCTAGAGTGCTCACGGTGGGTACATCCTCAGCATCCATGTGTGTGTGGACACTAGACAGTTGCTGTCATAAAAGCTCTGAACGTGTCTGAGAACTCATGTGAGAGGTACTGGAGACTGGTGGGTGTGTGCTGTGCGTGACACTGAGTGCTCAGCATCAAGAGTTCCGTTTATGAATTCTCAGACACGCTGAAGGGGGGCACCAGAAGTGCTCTTGTGAACTGTGGGAACAGAAGCGCCCTTCCTCAGCCCTCAAGCATCCTCCTCCAGCACACCGTAGCTCACAGACTCCCCTGGACGATGACAAGTGTCTAACACAGGTAGAGAAGTGCACTGCAGACTTTCCTGAATCCCTTCTTAGTAGAAGTTCACAGTTCATGTCATAATTTCAAGGAGGACTATGACTGCCTAATGCCTCCTTCCCAAGGAAGAGTTATACTTACACATATTTATATTTTGAATTCATCATCTCATTTAATCAGAATGGCACCATTTTACAGATGAAAAAAATTGAAGGTCAGAGACATAAGGAAATTATCTATGAGGATTTCCCATAAGAAACAAATTTAAAAGTCAGATCTGTCTCCCCCCATTGATTTGTGGGTAAATCTGCTCTTCCTTTACTGCTTCTGCTGGTGAACAGAAGACTCCTTTGTTATGTCAACTTAATGTAACACAATTTCTTACCCCCTCCCTGTTGTGGTGGGGGGAAGCCTTTGTCACATAGAGCCTGAACACATGAGCAAATGGCCAACAGACACAGCATGGCAGAGCCTGCTCCTCCCCCTCCACCTAAGCGGAGGTGAAAATCAATGAGATCTTGCTGAGAATTCGAGAAAACACACCTAAAACCCTTAACCCCCAAATTCCCATGCTTCTTTGTTTAAATGATTGTTCTTCTCCCTAGCAGGAACATCTGAAACAATGTTCATGCTTTTTAACCCAAAATTGTTATAAATTTCTCAATCTGTTTACAATTTCTTTTAAGTTTCAAAACTTATATTTAATCTACCCTACAGGTCAAACCAACTACGTTGATAATCATTATTTAATCCTTAATTAACAACTGGTTTCCTTTTACAGACAAGCTGTTACTGCCTATTCCAGATACATAATTAACATATGTTTTCTCAGCTTCCTAAAACAGATAAATTTCCAGCTCTTTCCTTTGCTTTTCCTAATACAACACAGGTAACTCCCCATTTAAAGGATTCCTTCCAAGACTAAGCTCTTCAAACATTCTTGCCTTTTTTCTAGAACCATAACAACAGATCACTGATGTGCTCCCAATCAAACAGTTACAGACCTAACATGTACATTATCCACCCTATACAGACATCGCCCTGCTGAGAGGTTTTGCTCCCCTGTGATGATTATTCTACAGGTTCATCTCTACAAAAGGAAAAAAAGAGAATGCTGCAACCACAGACCAGATGGAGACCGACCTGCCATCTCCTTGGACTTGCCTGGAGCTGTGAAGCTGCCTTTGTCCAGACACATTATCTGACTGAAGACTTTCGAAGACAAGCAGACACTGAGACCCACAGATGACAGACCTAAGACCTTCTAGCGACAGATGAACTCTGTTATCAGAGATTAATGGATACTGAACTTGGGGAAACTTACATAATAGTAAGGAAAATGTTATGTCTATGTAGATAAATCAAATATTATTTAAAACCAATCTTAATACCCTCACAAGCTCTGTATAAATTCACCCCCAATTTCAATCTGCTGAACAATTAATTTGTTCAATAGCCCCTTGTCTTCCTAGCCTCCACCCCTCCTTACCCCTCTGGCTTATGTTGTGTTCTATTTTAATACTTACATCCGAGCCCACTCAAAATAGCATAAGAGACAGTCACTCCAATGACACCTTTCCTTGAAAAAGAAGAAAAGGGAGGAGTTGTGTGGAGCTGCATTACCAGACAAAGAATAAGAAGGCTGAATAGATTCAGAAACCTCAGTACCCTCGGACCTGAGATGGGTAGGAGTTTCACCTATTTCTGACCTGGGCTCCTGTCCTGGAGCACATGACCATGACCCCCACTGAAAGATCGTGACCTCTAGTCACATAGCACAGAGTTCTCCATGCCAATAAGGTATCTAGATGAACCAGCCCAGAGGGTTTACCCAATAAGCTTCCCTTCCCACACAGTCCTTCCTGCAGAAGGTATTTAATCTCTGGTCCATCCCAAGTCCTATACACCCATTTTCCACGATGAACAATAAATAAACAATATAGTCAAGTAAGGACTGTCGCTCCCATCAAGAACTGTTGTGTGTTGAGGGGGGGAGCCTGAGTCATACAGAACCTCACTGCCTAAGTTAAGTCTCCTGCAAAGGCCCCACCATGCTCTCTGACACTCACTGCTAAGCTAAACCAGAGTTCCCCCTCCCCCAAGCCCAGGGCTCATCCCCAAAGTCCAGCGCAGGCCCTATTCCAGGTTTCCAGCAGCAATGGACACCTGGGAGTTAGGGAACACTAGCTTCAGCCTCACAGTTTCCATCCCATTCCAGACCCCCCCATAATAATAGGAGGGATGTAGGGAGCTCTGCATTCTTGAATATCATCAATAAAGTCCACTGCATCCACATACAAAAAAGTCTGTTAGTCCCAATCACAAACCTCAGCTAAAGTTTAGGAAATTATGATATGGGATTTTATAGCAGTAAGTATAATGCAAGGCATGAAGCTACCATTATGAAAAAGCTTCCTATTATTGTGGCCTCTTCATCCTTCCTGAGACTTTAACATAGTGTCTTTACCATATTTGTGAGACTCACATCTGTAGCTGTATTGGTTTTATGTCAACTTTAACACAAGCTAAAGTCATCTGGGAAGAGAGACTCTCAACTGAGAAAATGCTTTCCTAAGACTGACCTATAGGCAAGTCTCCTATGTGTTTTCTTGATTAATGATTGATACAGGAGAGCCTGCAAGCCCACCGTGGGTGGCACCAAGCCCGTGCAAATAGTCCTGATTTGTGTTAAAGTAAGCAAATCAGTAAGCAGCACTCTTCCATAGCTTCTGCTTCACTTCCTGCCTCCGGGCTTCTGCCTTGAGTTCGTGCTCTGATCCCTCACTGACAGAATGTGACCTGAGGCTTGTAGGAAGAAATGAACGCTTTCTGCCCCAAATTGCCTTTGTGACACAGCAATAGACCTCATAACCAAGGCAGTATCTGTGATCAAGAAACTCCAAAAATCTTTACCCAGGGGAGGAAAGAGTGTGAACAAATGAACACTCTGAACCCTCTAAGGTACAGAGCTAAAAGTGGTTTGAAGGCACAAGGCTCTAGCTTCGAGGATCCATTAGCAAGGACTGTGGC